CCCCCCTTCCCCCCACTTTACCCAGCCCTAGCCTACCCGCACTCTTCCCTTACCCCATAACCCACTTAAATTACTTCCTAATCAAGGAATTTCTAATTGGGAATTAATCTCAGCTTTTCCCTCCAAGATCTTCTTCCAAACTTTAAGCCTAATTCACTCCAAAACCTGAACCCAATCTTCCCCAAGCCTTCCCCCTTGGCCGGCCACCTTCCCTTACCTTCTCCCACTTGGATCCTTGGGATAAAGCTGTCCCGATCTTCATGTGCTGCTGTTTACACATCTCTACTTGCTGTCCAGAAATTTCTGGATGTTAATAGTGGCTGTCCACCCTTCTAAACCCTAGAGAGCTGCTGTCCAAGACCACCTGTTTGCTGTTCAGAGACTCCAGCAGCAGTTCGCTGCTGTCCAGCCCTTTTGGGAGCGACCATGGCTGCTGGAACTATCAGGGATCGTTGTCCAGGGTTGGCTACTTGTTGTCCAAAGGTTCGAGTGTGGATTTGTTGTTGTCCAAGCTGTCAAAGATGCCACCAACGGCTGTCCAAGGTTGCGAGAAGGTTGAATCTTAACAAAGGGTGAACTCTTTCCTTCTCTCTTACCTTCTTCGTTGTTCCTTGCTTGTGGTTTTATTTGATTCATGCAAAATCTTGCCAAGCTCCGCTAAAAGCATAGTGTTTAGTGGGAAGTGTGTGAGAGATCTTTCATAGCACTATTATTGTTAGATTAGGGATTTCTTGTTGATATCTATCTCGTATGCAACGTCAAGAGTAATTTATTATTACATAGTATTTACTTTTTTGCGAGTAATTTGGCCTAAGCTTGTATTTACCGCTCTGTGTTTTATTTCGTTATTTGAATCATCATAAAGATTTAATTAACTTGTCCTTACTCATTAAGCGTGCAAAAATCCTTACCTAAATAAAATTTTCATATAGCCCTGCATCATTTAGTCCAAGTGCTTTATTGTGAGAGTTTGAATTAGCAGAATTTTGAATAAGTTCAAAAGTGCTAGACCACACCCAATTCACCACATCTTAGCCTGCCTAGACTACTCAAGGATAAAGTTAATGATGATAATAATGATGCTCGAAAAACAAAGAGTCCTTTCATTTAATCGAAATATGCCCTCACTTTATCCAAACAGCTTTTATTCGTAGAAACACTTCAAAACACCATTACTCAAACAAACACCAGTCAACAAACACTCCTAGACCAAATCCTGCTTCTAATACAAAGATAGAAACTAGAGAGTAAATCTCGTTGGATAATTTTATAGCATACTATTTCTATAGGATAAATGAGTCAACAAGATAAGAACTGCAGATTTATGAAAATATGTATTTCGAAAAAACACAATGATTTTTTTTTGTCAGTAGCAAATTCAAAATGTTAAAATAGCAATTAAAGTAATTTTCCAATGAACATTTTTCAATAACAAAAAATAATGTGATTGTATTCACTAAGAATAGAGCATTAAATGTCAATACTCAATACGATCCCTCAAAAGGAACACAATAGGTATACATAGGATAGCATGTAATTACCATGTCCCGCTTAGACTCTACAGAAGTTGAAGGTAACCTCATCCTAGCAAATAATTCCTGAATGAAAGAAGCATCATCCTTCAACAAAGAAATAACCTGCAAGAAAATCAGAGTCATCAAGCAAGAAATGGTGATTGTTACCAAAGGTCTCCTGAGGTCATAAATTCACTTAAGTAGCTATACTAACAACAGCGTTATTTGCATGAATAATGGAGTTAAGGCTTGCTATAGTTGCCTCATCCAGGACTCTTGGTAAAATAACATCCTGCAATTCATAGACCAACATTAAAATTTAATAGCAGTAAAAAGAAAGAAATTGATAGCATCTAGGCGGTAGGATTACAGACCTTTATATAACCAATTCTATATGTCTGATGTATCTTCGAAAGAACTAAAGAATCCTTAATAGGAATTGCCTACAAAAAGTAAAACCCCTAAATGTGGGAAAAGAAGATGAGAGAATAAAGGTAAAATTGTATGTGCTAAAAATTTAAAAAAAAAAAAAAAAAAAAACCTCCTTAAAAACCACATGCTCTTTGAGAAATGCACGATGATGTTGAACTTGAGAGACATCGGGATCATCTACAATTACCAAAAAGGCATAAAAAAAATGTAAATAAATAAATAATAAGAGCTGTAAGTAAATGAAAAGGGTCGAGCTACAAAAAAAAAAAAAAGATGAAGTGAACATACATTCAAGACAACCAATTATATCCAAAATCAAATCATCTGCAAAAATTTTCTCAAATATTTGCTGGCTGTTTAGTAGGACTGCAAAAGATCAGCCCAAGTTATATAATGCCGCTAATGGTATTTCAAACAAACTAACCAAAAAGATACTTAAGTGGATGTAGAAAACATATATTTACTCACTGATCCCCTTAACCAATTTGAATATAATGTGAAGAGTCTCTATGTTTTCCAAGTCTTCGTTCATTGTAAATAGATCCACTAACTTCGAAAAGAAGCTTTGCTGCATGAGAGAAACATCAGGCACACATCAAGCATAGAATAACAGACAAAAAGAATATCAAACTAGTGTAACCGGATGGGAATTTCAGGAATATACTCTGCATATATCTTACAAACTATCAAAAATATATGCATCAACAGCCAGAAAAAAAGAATAGGAACAAGTTCTGAATTCTATACAAATTCTCGTTTAAGAGTAAACAATTCGATTTGATTACATGTGTCTGATACCATCTTCTATATCATGGCTAATAATGAACGGTTAAGGTTTTTAAAACACAGTTTCAATTTTACTTTCGAGAACCATAACATAGATTTAGTTTTTTAGACATTTCGACAATTTCAACAGTTTCCTTATGAATTTCATTGATCCTCTGATTGAATTTTAAATGCTATATATTCTTCATTTAAGTTTAAATAATACATATATTTCTAAAATAAAGAGTATCTAGGAATAAGAACTAACTATTTATTTAAATTTAATAAAGCTAAACATAATTTTAAAAAGGTAGATAGAACATCAAATGTAACATAGCCAATTATTCATTATTATAAATAGTTTAGATATGAATCTTCCCTAAACCTAATTACTTCATTAGTGATTACCAGCATTGTTCATCTCCATGAGTTTATATATTCAAATCCCATCCTAAGAGAAAAACTCAGCATACTTAAATTTAAGAATAAAAGCTTAAAATAGTCCTCCGACTATTAATAAATATCCAATTTACTCCCAGAGTTCCGCAGTGCCCTATTTTACACCCTCGACGATTAGAAATTGTCCAATTTGGTCCCTTTGTTAAATTTTCCATTCAAATTAATGCAAGAAGCCCGCAAGCATTCGATTCTTTAGGGTATTTTAGGAAAATACTTATTTACCTAATCCATTGCCTTCTTGGTATAATTTCATGGAGACGAAACTGGAGATCGATTGGTGTGAAGGGGAAGACCTGCAGTTGCGAGCAAGGCGACATGCTGCGATATACAAAACCTTGAGAATGACGACCATCTAATGCGTGCAAGATGTGCTTGGAGACAACGCACACGTGTTGCGAGCGAGACGCAAGAGACCACGAGCGATGCCGTGCAAGCGAGAGGGCAAGCAAGCGATAGCCAGAGAAGGAGACAACAAGCGATTTACATATCACGATAGCCAAAGACAAAGACGGAGACTATTGCGAGCTACCTCGAGAGATCACCATGTGATTTGACACCCAGAGATGGGAAAAATAGAGCAATGTAATAAATGTAATCTCATATCCACTTGTAAGGCCTAAAATACCCTTCATATTTAACTTTGGAGTTAAATTTTAACTCTTATTTTAGGCTTTGTGACTAAATTAACTCAATTTCTAATAATCGAGGGGCTAAAATGAGGCAATGCTAAACTTTAGAACTAAATTAGAAATTTATCAAAAGTCAATGGACTATTTTAAGTTTTTACTCTTCAATTTAACTATAACCTGATAGCTTCAAACAAGTCAAATTCCCTCTTGTTTCTAACTCACCCCATGCCTATGAATAATTAGAGAGGTCAATGACCCTACTTAAACCCACGAGCTCTATCACTGACTCTCATGCATTATAGTATGACCTCCAGGAAACCTGCAAGCTAGTAAGTGCTAACCGGGAAACAAACAAGTGCCCAAACGCTAGCTTCTACTAGCTCATTGTATTACCTAGCCCTTAATGGCATGCTCAATTTAAAACTAGTCAGCTTCAGCCCAACATCATGTGAAAAACAAAATTGTGGCATTTCAACAAAAATCAATCAACTATTACAACTTATACACATCTCCTGTAATAGCCCGTATTTTGACTTTGCCATTTTTTTTTGGAGTCATTATAACTCCAATACGCAATTCATCTTCGCCATAGTATTTTGATTGTAATATTTTACTTATATGAATTTTTTTTTGTAACTTTTTAGCACCGGTGAAAATCCTTAAAGAATTGGTACATATCGGAACAAGTGAGGATTTTGGTATTGTCAGGTGTCCGTTTTGCAAACCTATTTCATGGATATTTTTTAAATAACATATTTTATTTTATGGATATATTTTTGCAATTTTTGAAGTCCTAAAATGATTTATTTGATTTTTTTTTAAAGAAATTGATTAAATAAATAATATAATATTAAATTATATTTTAATAAAATCTCCTAAGTCATTAAGTCTTTTAAAAACCTATTCCTATCCATTTTCGCTAAGAGAGATGTGTGAGAGGGATTTTAGAGAAAAAGATAAAAGAGAGAAAAGAGAAATCCAGACTTAGAGGCTGCAATGCGATTTTTGTTCGTCGAGCTTGTTGGAAAAATTGCTTGTCTCGCTGTAACCTTTACCCTATTTCTGATTTTAAAGATTTTGTGTTATTTGTATTTTTCTGATCAAAATTGTGTTTCCGTTACCGAAAAACGTGAATAACTTTTAGTATATTATGGAGATCATGATTATGAGCATTTTGAATATTTATTTGAGATTTTTCACCAAGTGATTTTGAAAATACAATAATTTGTCAACCAAGAAATTTATTTTGATGTCTATAATTAAAAGTGTATTATAATAAAAGTCTTAAAACATCATTTTATACAATTCTTGTTCTTTTGATAATTTTCTGAAAAATGTATATTTTTGTCTAATAAGATTCTTTGTTGTATACCATTATGATATTTTGACATCTTCTTAATTAAGCTTAATTATGCATTATTTGTTGCAATGCATTGAAAATGGATGTGAATAAGTGCTTGAGTAATAGTTGGTTGTTATTAATGTTCTAATATTGTGATAATAATGTGCGTGTGTGAAACAAACAAGTAAAGATTGGTTGACCCGTTGGTTGAAGACTAACTGACTTGTACAGGATGGTGGGCCAACGGGCTTTCCATTAAATATTGTAGTTTGGTATTATCCTCTACTAATTCATGTGATACATTGGTTGAGAGTTATAAGGAGATTATTATTGTGCTGACGGGCAAATAGTGACGACTCTATTTACTGAGCCAATGGTTTACTAACACTGATACTGACAATTAAAAACACTATAAAAGCCAAAACTTCTTACTTGTTTAGTGTGACTACTTAAATGCATGTTTTGATGCATTATTCTTATTATTGTACGGATTTATTAATATTGCGCGGATTTACTAATATTGTATTATTTTATTACTCAAGTCATTTTACTGTTACTGATATAGATACTTATACTATTTGATATTATTGATTCACTGTATTGATATTATGAATGTGATATACTAAACACGTAATATAAAATACCTAGATAGTATGAATACATTCTCATATGATTTTTCTGCATTGATTTGATTTTGACAATCTTTATTGGTATTTTGATTTTATGTTTTATATGATATTTGTATTGATTGCTATTACAGATACGACAATTGCTTTATAGATTTGACACTTATACTAGTTTATCGTTTTACTGACTTTCATTCCGTAGTATTTTACTGTTTACAGATTCTACTACTACTGCATTTGAGATTTATTATTTATGCACTGATTCAATGATCATATGAATGCTACTGTTATGATTTGATTGTTGACATGCATATTGCTCCTTTACCATGCTTTGAATTTAATTGTAGATTTTGGTGACCTGCTAGGCTTTTTATATGATATTTGTAATAGCAATCATATGATTTTTCTATATTTATTTGATTTTGACAATCTTTACTGATATTTTGATTTGATGTTTTATATGATATATATATTGAGTGCTATTAAAGATACGACAATTGCTTTATAGATTTGACACTCGTGCTAGTTTACTGCTTTACTGACTTTCATTCCGTATTATTTTACTGTTTACAGATTCTACTGCTACTGCATTTGAGATTTATTATTTATGCACTGATTCAATGATCATATGAATGCTATTGTAATGATTTGACTATTGACATGCATATTGCTCATTTACCGTGCTTTGAATTCAATTATAGATTTTGGTGACCTGCTGGGCTTTTTAAGCTCATTATATGTGGTTAAATGATTTCAGGTCAAGGCAGGAAAGCAAGAGTGTTAGGCTTGTCAAACTTCAGGTTCATATTCTTTTTGTTTTAGTTATTCTTTTGTACTCAGGACATAATGGTTATGATATGATTGTGTAGATCTTGGGTATTGTATATGATTTTTGGGGATGAATAAAGATCTGTACAATGATATTTTAAATTATAGAATTTGTTTTGTTGTTTATTACTGATATATGATATTAAATAGTTCTGGTTGTTGTTTATTAAAACATAAAAGAATAATTCTCTCAAATTAAATTCTGGGGCATCTCATCTCCATTGCAAATACAATCAATATGTCAATGACTGCAAAATGTTTGGCTGCATTTTCAAATCATGCTCAAAAGATGTTGCATAAAGGCATAGTAAATGGAGAGGATTTTGGCTAAATACTTGAACTATCTTCCACCAAACAGAAGATGAGGCAATTAACAATAAACAGGAAAGGAAACAAATTCAGAGGCTAATCAACGGGCAAAAAGGGTTATTTAAGTATGGAAGAGCAGCATGACAGATCAACCAGAACGTAAATGTAAATGGCATTTGCAGCTAAAATATTTACTCGTTTGAGCTGCGGAAGCTGCGGAATGCCAACGTTGATTTGAACAAAGACTAGTACCCAATGAAAATAATTGAAATCAATAGTGGCAAAAGCACAGTGATGATACATTTTAGAAGCATTTCAATAGATCAAGCACTCAAGCGTCAGAAAATTAGCCAATCTGCCAATATAAATCCAACAAAATAAAAAAAATTTTAACCCTTACTTCAGCTAAGAAGCAAAGGAAAACCGTGTATGATCCACCTATTAGCGTGGAATAAATACATAGAGAAGCCAAAAGGCCCACAGGCATTGTTGGAAAGTTCAAGTTCAATGTAATAATCGTTGAAAAGCTCAAGTATATATATATATATATATTAAAAAAAGAGTCGCCATCAAGTAACTAGCATCTTCCATGAAAGCAACTACACGCTCAACACAGCTACCTACAAACCTCATGATCGTTGATCTCATAGAGAGAGAAGGGGTGATTTGACAATTTGTTGCACTCCCGTGGAAAAGGAAATAACAGTTGAGTTAGAGCTAGGAAAAGAAGCTGTTAGTGGTAACTTAAATTAGCTTTATGTTCACAAGCTCGAAAAAGCTACAGAAGTTAAGATTCAGCAAGTTACAGAAAACCTAAACATAGAAAAGGGAAAGGTTCAAAGAGTTATACATCTTGGGAGATCAACTCAGTAACACGCAACTGATCAGTAATCCCACACTCAACCACAGCCTGCAGATAAAAAACAATGCTCTCAAAATCAATGAGCGTGCAAGATCCAAAAAGGAAGCAGAAACTAAAGCAAAAAAAGAAAAAGCACTAAAACTTAAAAGCTTCTTAAGAAGAATTTTCAAGCATCATTCTCAAGCCTGCCAGATCATGTCTTCATGAAACATAAATCGTCAAAAAACAGAAGAACATGCAGGGATTCAAAGGAAAAAGAATAACATCAATAACTTGCTGTTTTGAATTATTATATTGATAGGCATTTGACAACATATTTAGTTTCATAATACTGTGTAGCGATCATCTAGACACATGAGTATGATCAGCAATCTGTAAGGAAATAAAAGTATGTTTGCATAAATTTATTACATAAATATATAATTTGTTAGCTCGAAAGTTGATAAACAGCATTTACATAGCTCTGAACATTTGATGTATGCTTAAAACATCCAAAAAAAAATCCATTATGATCAATTCATCTCTTTCATTAAGTTGGTTCAAGATTTGGTCAGTAGAAGGATTATGGAACCAAGGCTTTTTAGTAGAGTTGTGTAAGCCAAAGACCCTATCAATAAAAAATCAAAGGGAATAGAGAGCAATCGTTGCACCTGTTTTGTTCGCAAGCCGCTACTCACAACTCTCACTTGCTTTGTTGCACCCACTGCACTGATCTACACTCGTTGTTACTTGTGGCTCGTTGTTGCTCAAGGCTTCCTTCTCGAGCCGCATCCCTTCTGTTACGGCTGCTACATTTGCTTTTGCAGTTGCGGCTCCCACAAGTTGCTTCTCATAGCTTCCACTTTGATCGTGAGCTTCATCCTGATTGTCACCTGGGCTTTAATTTGTTATCTTTGTCCCACCAGTTCATCACATCCCCATTTTATTATTTGTAGATCTCGTTCATGTGTTGTTGGTGACTTTGATGGGGGCCAAAATCCACCTTCCTTTTTGGATTTTGTGTTTCATCTCATCTCCTAAAGCTTCTTCCCCCTTTATCAGATCTCCTAAAGCTTCTTCCCCCTTTATCAGTACTCCCCGATGTCAAAGTCAAGGTTACATATGTGCTTCATCTTTACTCATTCCTCTTCACCATTGTCTTTGTATGATCCAGTGGTTAGTATTAATCATTAGGGGTGTCAAAACGGATCAACAGATCGGGTTCAAGTCCAAGCCGAAATTGACCCAACTTGAATGTGACCAACTCAAACTGAACTCGTTTAATAAACGTATCAAAAAGGTGGACTCGAACTTCACCCACTAGCAACCTGAACCCAACCCTATAACAAGTTTTAATTAAATATATATATTTTTTATTAATTTGTTAACCATAGATTTTAGGTTAATCGATCAAACAAAAGAAGATTACAGTAACAAATAAAAGAATTTAAGGAAAAAATATTAAATGGGTCATTTTCAAGTCAAAATCGGATTGGCGATAACTCAAACCCAACCTATTTAATAAACGGGTTTGAATAAACGACCTGAACCCAACCCGTTATTAAACGGGTCAACCTAAAGATGGATTTTTCAGGTCGACACGTCGGGTCATTTATTGGCATCCCTAATGGTCATTATACTCCATCATGTTGGGTCTCTCTAAATCATATTTTCAGTCTCCCAATTACTCTACTCCCTCTTTGTCCTTTGCTAAGATTGTTAAGGTAAAGGGTTCCTTGCAGTCGAACTTGCCTGCCAGTTTCTCTTTGTTCTTTAACCATGGCTTAAATTCTGTTAAGCACAAGTCAGCTACAATCTTACATGGTAAATCCGTTCATATCTTTTCATAGGAAAAAAATATGATCTAGTAGCTCAATTTTCCTGAACTTAGATTTGCAAATTTTCCTTTGGCTGTCAAAGCTGGCAAATTATTTAAACAAATGTGTGATCTTCTTGACGAGGACATCGTCAAAAATTTCGACACATGTATCATGGGAGACGCCGGAGATCGACGACCACGAGCATGAGTTTATATTTTGAGTCATTTTATGTAGTAGTTTATTTTATTTTTCAGTTTTTTCCGCTTTTGCCCTTATGGGTAGTTGGTCGCTATTGTAGCCCAAGGGGCATTTTAGTCTTTTGTTTTCTTTGTCATTTTGAAGCCTATATATATGGTCATTTTCTTATGTAAGAGGATGATTATTGATGAATGAAAAGTTATCTTGGTGATCTCTTTGTGACTTCCAAAACTCCTCTAGATCTCATTGTGAGTTCTTGACGAGAAATCTCTTAGATCTCTTTGTGAGTTCTAGTGGGAAGCGTGAGGTTTGTGATTCTCGATTTCCTTTTCTTCTCCACCAATCTCTTTCCACCTTCACCTCAAGAGAAGACAACCACACCCATTGGCTTGGAAAACCCGACCCCACCTCCTTGCCGCCGTCCCTTGGAGCCCAAGCCACCGGCTTGATCCTACCACCGGCCAGCCACCTTTCCACCAACCCCCTTCCATCCACCCACCTCCCCTCCCTTCCTCTAGCCATCATTTCAAAATTCAAATTTCAAATTTCAAATTCTTTTCAAATTGGGAAATCCAAATTAGGAAAGTTCTTTATGTTGAATCCAATTTTAATTAAAAAAAAAAAAATTGGATTTAATAATTTTCATTCCTAGTCATCATTTCGCATTTGGAAACCCCCCTCCCTTCCTCCCCAATCTCCAACTCCTCCTTGATGTCGCCGGCCCCTTAATGGGGTTTCCCATTGAATGCTCATTCAATGCCCCTCCCCCTTATTTGAAATTCAAAATTGATTTCAAATATTCTCCCTCCAATTTCACTTGAGCTGAAATTAATTTCAGTTTTCTTACTTCTAAACCCCTCTCCCCTCTCTCTCTCTCTCCACTTTGCCACCTAAGCAACATTAATCCCTCCCTAAATCCCCTAATAACCGCCAGCCCCATTAATCCCTTAATTGGGTTAATTTGAATTTCAAATTAGCTTCTTCCATTAAGAAAAATCTGAAATTAAACTTCAGATTTTCCCTCTCCTCTCTTTGTCCCCCAAATCACTTGTTTCAACCCAAATAACTCCACCCATAGCTGACCCCTTCACCCTCCCAAGTCTTCTCCCATTATCTCCTCACCTCCTCACCAAGCTTAAGAGAGATTCTCCCAACCACCACCACCATCATGCATGGCCGATCCGAAAGTCAACCATGGTTTCTTACTTGATGATCAAGGACGAACCAACATCCTTGAATCCCCTTTCTTCGACGTAAACCTTGACGTGGATTCTTCCGTGGAGGATTACTTAAATCGCATCTTGTTCATGCTAGTACCTTCCATCTTCCCGGACGTTGGATGCTCGCTGGTCATCCCGTGGACTACCCGCCACCGACTACCTCTCCAATGGACTACACTTTGGGAGCCATTTGTCTCATACTGGCATCGCTCGGTTGCTCTCAATCTTCCTCCATTAAAAGTGCCACCAACAAGAGAGTGAGTGAGGGACCCAAGGTAAAGAGATCTATTTGTTAACCGTGGATTCTTGTTTCTTAACCATAACATTGTCTTATTTATTTCATGTTGTTCATTTGAGAGTACCATGTATTCTAGTTGTAACCGCATGCCTTACATAATTTCTACTTGATAGTTCTGAAAGCCTAACTTGAGTAAGCATTAATTCTATAACTAGCAAAGTTATAATACACTTATATTAAAATCCCCAAGCAGTTCTTGTTTCCATGCATATGTTTCACATCACTTCTCCTACCAAATAATTACT